TGCGGTGTCCCATGGTCATGTGATCACCTTTTGCAACCTTCTGATAAGCAAAGTCAATGGGGAAGCCAGATTCACTTAGCAACCATGTTGCTAACTTAACAACTGCAGTGATTCATTTAACAAATGTGGCAAGAAAGGTCATAAGTTGGGGCAAAACTTATTTAACTCATGTCTCATGTTACAACAGAAATTTTGGGCTCAATTGTGTTCATCAGTTGTGGATTACCTGTATTGATTTTCAAACTGGGTGAGGGCTCTGTGAAAGTAGCCTAATGGCTACCAGCTAATAAGTTGTTACAGAGCATTATGCTGTTTTAACAAATGGCTGTATATTCTGAGAAGAGTCAGTCAGTCAAGCCAAAGCAACACTTTCGGGTCCCTTCATAACAAATTCGGCACGTGAGAAGAATGGGTGGCATCATGGGAAGACTTTCCTCCTTCCCCTTTATTAGTTCAAGTTTAAATAACTTGTTTCAGCCAGGTATTTCCCATTTTAAACTGGCAGCTGTCCAGCATGCAAACATCCGCATGGATATTTGCGCAGATTATTCTTTTATTTTTTACCTGTGTAGAAAGACTACCAGAAAAAGGAAAGTAATGGTGAGAAACTATCTTCATAATTGTTTATTTTAACTTCAAATGGGTGCCTGAAATTGTGTTAATCATAATTATTTATTTAATAGACCTGGAGAGGAATAAATACAAGATTACAGATTTTATTTTGAATTGCTTTTCACTGTCAGCAATTATCAGTTGTGTTTTACAGGCAGAATAAGTCCAAAACTACCATTTAAGGATAACATTTTTTTAAAAACCCAAAAGACTAGTTTGTAGTTTTGCTTGGGAAAATAAAAGTTTTTGTTTTCATTTCCAAACAAAACAATTTAAATGTGCATTTCTTCTTCCAGATCACAGCTTAACAAGAGCTAAAATATTTCCTCTAATTTAGAAAACCTTGATTAGGTTGATATTCACTTTTCATAAATAAAAGGATGGGATGTTTAAACTCACCCACCTGATTCATCAGCTGCTGCCTTTTTTTCCTCTTTTTTTTTGGTGGTCTGGTAGCTGGAATCAAGTGAACACTGGAAATGTTTTGTCAGTGTTTGCAGTTGGCCTGCTTTTTCAGATGCGACATAGTTACATGTTCAAACTGGGTTGCCATGGCATTCTGACATGACTTGGCAAGATACACAGATGAAGAATCAAGCATCTCCAAGTGGTGGTAGAATGCGCTAAAGGGATTTGGGGTGGGTGGGATGGGGAGCAGCATTTTTGTTTTGCCAAGTACTGTACAGTGAAGATGTCTCTGATATGTACGTCTCAATTTAAATGTAAAATATACACATGGCTGCAGTCCTAAAACCAATAATGGCAGAACCATTGGAACACAAAAGAAAAATAAAGAAAGGAAAAAAAAGAGGAGAGAGACAGTGAGGCTCTCTATTTGGAATAAATGGATTTGTATTGCAGGCAGTTTTCCAGTGCTCTGGTGAAATGTTTCATTGCAAAATGCAAATTCCTTGGTTCTCAGAACTGACAACTGCAAATTTTCAAATGTAATTGAGTTAAACCTTCTGAGTAAAGCCATTAAATGTACAGCCATGGGTAGTACCAGCACAAAATGGTTTGCAGATGCTTCTTTACTGCCTTAGATACTTTGGAATAAACCATGAAAGATGCCCAGAATAACAATGGAGATTAAATAGCAATTTATGGATGCATAATTTTGCTTACTTATTGAAAGACATTGAGAGCCTAGATGGAATCTAAGTAAATATTGCAACTCCTGCCCTCATCCCTCAAATTTAGTCTTAAAAATGTATCCATTATAGGACAGGGGATGCAGAGTGAGGGTTTATTAGATTAAAATCTGTTGTAAATCACTGTGCAGTTGTAAATTTACAGTTGTAAATTGAGCTACACATATGACCGGATCCATTTTTCGGACATTTTTCCTGGCATTTGTTAAGCGAATCATCCAATCATTAAGTAATGCTGTGGTCGTTAAGCAGGCCCATTCTTTCCAAATGGTAGTTTTTGCCAGAAATCAGCAATCAATCAATCAATCAATCAATCAATCAATCAATGAAAGAAACCAGCAAAAAAAATGCAGGAAACTGGAAAAAAGAATCACAAATTATGATCCTATGACTGTGGGACACTGCGACTGGTCATGAAAGTTGCTAAGTACCTAGAATGTGACACAAAAGTAAAGATAATATTTTACAATAGCCAGAAGTGCTTTGTGAGCCATAAAGTACCTGTTTGGAGGCTGAGGTAGTGCCAAATGCCCATAGATTAAGCACTACCTGTATCTAAATCTCTTTTAGGTCTTAGCATCCTTCTTTAACCTCAACTCCTTCTGAACTTTCACTTGCCTAACCCCAGCTCTATAGTTCTACAAAGAGGATCAATTTAGTGAGTTTTCAACTGTTTAGTAAGNTGTCTGTACCCACTTCCCTGATTGAATTGTGAGCCGCCCTGAGTCCCCTTCAGGGAAAAGGGCGGCATATAAATGTAATCAATCAATCAATCAATATTGATATGGATTGTTTCCTGATTGCTTATTTGTATCCTACGACTATCATTAAGTGATGTACCTTATGAGTCTTGACAAATGTATCTTGTCTTTTTATGTACACAGAGAGCCTAAGCACCAAAGACAAATTCCTTGTGTGTCCAATCACATTTGGCCAATAAAGAATTCTATTCTATTCTATTCTATTCCTACAGCATTGCTTTTTATAATGCAACTTTGAAATGACCAATGGAGAAAAGATCTCCTAAATCAGAGTGAATGAAAATTTTCATTCATTCTGCCAATAATTTACTGGTTATGAATTACAACCAGTATAAACCTGATCGACTTCAGAATTCAACTGTGTTGAGAATTCAGATGCAGAACCTAACTGTATGAAATATTTCATAGGACAAAGCCAAAAGGTGAATGTGTTAAAGGATCAAGGTGGCGTCTCAGATGAACATCACATTCCCTGCATCCGTGCACTCACTGGCATCATTTTTAGTCTCCTGAAAGAGACTGGTGGCAGGAAGACACAGCGTTTGGTCTGTGCCATGTGCAAAAACATAAAAAGGTTGTTTGGTGGCATATTTCCCTGGAAAAAAAAAGCCAGCATGACATTACAAGGGTGGGAAGTACATCATAATATTTCCTGTGACTAATCCATGAAGCTCACAATGGACATGTGGCTCCACATCAGACTTTCCAACAGAGAAATTGCTTTGGCACTCGCTATCCAATTTTGGGGGGAAAGTGAGATTCGTTCGCTGTATGAAAAGTTTGCCTCAAATACACTTTTATGGCTATGCTTCAATGCCTGACCATATTTGGTCCAGTTTGGTCTAGTGGTTAAGGAACCAGACTAGAAAATAGGAGGTTGTGAGTTCACGTCCTGCCTCAGCCATGAAAGCCAGCTGGAGACTTCGGGTCAAAATCTCTCTCTCTCTCTCGCTCTCNCTCTCAATAGGTGTTGGCCAGAGACCGAAGGGAGTTGCCAAAGAGAAGCCAGAACACCCAATTGGACAATGTTCCAAAGATGCTTTTTTTAAGAGGCAACTGGACTTTCTGGTTTTTCTTTGAAGAGGTTTTGCTTCTCATCCAAGAAAGTTTCTTCAACTCTGACTGAATGGTGGGGAATGGACAGATTTATACTCCTTGCAGACAGCTGGTCATTTGAATTCTTTTAGCGGGTCTTTAAGGTCATCTGGAGGTATATCTGAGTCATCATGGTCACCTGAGTGGTGCAAATGAGTGTGGAGCCTTCTTGTGACTATTAAAAGGACTGTGCTGTAGATTGGAGATAGATGGTGTTGTATCCCTCCCCCTCTGTTGAGAGAAGGCTGTTCAATTTTGACATAGATGGCCTCTTTAACCCACTTCCAACCAGCGATCCTCTCTGTCTAAAATATGAAGACTTTGTAGTCTTCAAAAGAGTGGCCTGTGTCTTTTAAATGCAGATGGGCTGCTGAATCTAGTCCTGATGGGTTTGTTCTCCTATGTTGTGCCATGTGTTTATGAACTGGTTGTTTTGTTTCCCCAATGTACTGATCTGCACATGGCTCACTGCATTGTACTGCATGTACCACGTTGCTCAGTTTCTGTCTGGGTGATTTATCCTTGGGGTGGGGACTAGCTTCTCACAAGTCCAATTGCCCTTTCCCCCAACATACGCATATTTTTTTGCAATATGTCTCATAAAGATACATTTTTTGTACACTATTCCACATGCAAGAGATTTCGGGCCTGGAGCTAACTGCTGTCAGGTGTATCTAAACGACTCGCAACCTTCCCTGCCAGCTTCTCCATTGATTTTGCTTTTGGGAAGCCAGCAGAGAAGGGGGCAAATTGTGATTGTGGGATATTGCATCTAACGTGCGAACAAGCTGCCAAGGATCCAGATCACGACCGTTATCGGGAGCGGAGTGACTTTAAGGCCTGGCTGTAAACGTCACTCACTCAGCGCCGTCACAACTTCCAACAGTTGCTGAACAAGTAGTTGGTGAGTGAGGACTCTCTCTATGGCATTTGCTTTTGAAGCAAAGAGAACAGAAATATACTTCATATTTTATCTTTCCTTCCACAATCATCAACAACGAAACTCATAGAATTAATATTGCAACAGGAGTAGGAGAGTCATAGAAAAGGTGCCGACAGTGGTGTCGTTGTAAATGTTTCAGAATTGTCTTTGCTGGCTCCATTTCAATCAGCACAGAACATCTGATTGGCGTGCTAAGCTAGGCGATCAATCAAATGGTTATTACCGTCCTACACCAGCGAAAGCCTTGCCTAGTGGCTCAGTTCTGCTCTCAGCTAGCTGCAAAACTCCAGAAAATTTAATAATCGGCTTTCAGAAGCCAATGCAAGCTGGCTTGCAGCACACCACTGGGTTTACGCCCTCCAGATAGAGCACAGGGCCACGACACCCTGCCACACATACACACATACACACACCACCTGACCCGCTGCCACAGTCTTGCCTGATAGAGGTGAAAGTTTTGTCCAATCAGGGTGATCTTTCTCTGCACATTGACCGGCATCAGAGAGGATCCCTGGATGCCCTTCACACACGGACAGGCTTCAGGGCCCCAGCTGTACTCCTCCGTCTGAAAGCACACAAATACATTGAAGAGAGTAAAAGAAGATTCTGCATAGACAGGGGTGTCAAACTCAATTTCATTGAGGGCCCCATCAGGGTTGTGTTTGACCTTGGGGAGGACCGGGTGTGTGTGGCTAGGGTGGGCGTGGCCAGTTTGACATCCTGCAGCCTGCACCCAGTCCTCGTGACCTCCGTTTTCAGCTGCGACAGCCTCCTGCAGCTCTCTGCCAGCAGAAACGGAGCTCAGGAGGGCCCCGTAGGTCAGATCTGGCCGATGGGGGTCTTGAGTTTGACACCCCTGGCATAAATTGATAGAACAGAATATGCACAAAAGACGGAAACCAGGTTCTCCTATACAGGTAGTTCTCGACTTTCAACCACAATTGAGCCTGATATTTCTATTGCTAAGTGAGACCTTTTGTTAAGTGAGTTTTACCCCATTTCACGACCTTTCTTCCTATAGTTGTTAAGTGACTCACTGCAGTTGTTAAGTTTGTTAAGCAAATCTGGCTTCCCCATTGACTTTGCTTGTCAGAAAGTCACAAAAGGGGATCACATGACCCCAGGATGCTGCAACCGTCGTACGTATGAGCCAGTTGCCAAGCCTCTGAATTTTGCTCACCTGACCATGGGGGTGCCACATGGCTATAAGTATGAAAAATGGTCATAAATCCCTTTATTCAACGCTGCTGTAACTTCGAGTGGTTTTAAGTTCATTCAGAAAAAGCACAAACAGGCCCAAAAACAGATTAAATGTCTGGGTGAAAAGATCTTTCTCTTGTCAATATATAACATGTAGATGACAACTGATGAAGAGCCTCTCACCATCACCGCTTGGTAGCCTGGAGCCACAATCAGGAGGTTCTCTGGAGAAACTCTCCTGTCAAAAAGTTTCTATTACTATCCAATTCTACAAACAGGAGGGTTTTTCCTGCTTTGCCCACATAATGTCAGCGGGATTATCGGCCTTACAGTCAGCTAGTTTAATTACTAAGTTCTGGAGNCACAGCTTTAAGACTTGTGTGCTTCAAATGCCAGTTTCTCAGCCAACATTTTGGTTGCTAAGCAAGAGCGTTGTTAAGTGAGTTTTACCACATTTTACAAGTTGGTCACACCCACCCAGTCACATGACTGCCAAGCCACTCCCACAAAGCAGGCCACACCTACAGAAGAGGTTCTAAAAAATTTTGAAACCCACCACTGGATTACAGGTACTGTAGTCCTTGACTTACAACCAGTCACCTAGCAACCATTTGAAGACCTGCTTTTGGTCTACTTAAGACCTGGATTGTGACCAAACTTCAGGCGCTCAGTAACATGGCTACATTTAAGGCTGTTTGCAGCATTCTGTGGTCACGTGACAATGTTTTTCAATAATTCCCCTGAAAACCACCACTTCCTTCTTTTGGCAACACCACACCCATTGTGAACCATGCATTTGCTTTACAACTGCAGTGTTCACCTAATGACTGCCTCAAAAAATGATTAAATCAGGTTGGTCACAGGTCTGAGTAGTTTTAATACTATTGGCGACTTATGGCCAAAATGGGCATGGTCCATGACAGTCATATGTCAAGGACAACCTGTTAGTCAGAGAACTAGCTGAAGGGAAGCTAAGGCTTCTTCAAGACCAGCATTTTAAGACAATATTGCGAATCACATTCATGGGACCACAACATTTATGGTTCCCAAGTAACTACTAATACCTATCATGACTCAAATCTCAAATCTGCGGGAGGATCTGTTAAAAGAGGGTGGGCTGATCCCTGTTTAGGACTGTTTCCTCTTGGAGGGGTTGTGGTGCCACAGACACAACATCAAAACTACCATACTTTTCGGAGTATAAGACGCAGCTTTCCTCCCACAAAAAGAGGGTGAAAAACTGGGTGCATCTTATACACTGAATACAACATTTTTGGCCTACCGAAACTCCTCCCCCTTCACCCAAATAGACGGGCAGAGGGTTTGAGAGGCTTGCAAAGTGCTCCTGAGGGCTGGGAAGAGCAAAAACAAGTGAAAAACAGGCCATTTTTGCTTGTTTTCGCCTCCCCCCCCCGGCCCCCAGGAGCACTCTATAAGCCTCCTAAAGGCTATGCCCTTTTTTGCTCATTCCCCCCCTCTCCCGAGCCCCAAGGAGCACTTTGCAGGCCTCTCAAACTCTCTGCATGCCCCGTTTTTCACAAAAAATGAGGCATGCAGAGGGTTTGGGAGGTCTGCAGAGTGGAAAAACTTTTTTTAAAATTTACCTCTTTAAAATCTTGGTGCATCTTATATTCCGAAAAATACAGGGGGGTGGGGACATCCATTCTCCAGCCTCCTTTTTCCCCTTCATCTCTCCCCTCCCCCCCCCCTCTCTCTCCTTCCTCTCCCCTCTCAATTTGCTTGTCTTTTTCTACCAGGTAGGAGAGGAGAAGCTGCTTTTAACCAAAGGCCTAAAGTGATTTGAATTTAAACTGAGGGCTGAATGTAACCTACTTGCAGCCCACCCCTTCCCTAAGCTTGAAAATGAATCATGCTATAGAATCCCTGCAGCAGGTCTCATGTCTTCTCCTAGAGAAGTAAGGGAAGTCCATGAGATGCCTAGAGCTCATATGTGGCGCCTAGAATGGTTGGGTTGATATTTTTGGACCTTTCTGAACATTGGGATATTTTAAGCTGTCGCCTGCATAAATTAAACATCGAGTACATTTTTTTCCCCACTCCTGTTTTTCAGAAACTTAAGGAGTAACCTGTCGCAAAATACCAGGCCACAATTTCGCCCTTCCTCATTCTGGTAATCCCGTTAGTTATTCACCTCACAGCTTTGCGGTTTCAAAGCAAGGCCGAATGAAAAGATGCGGCCCTGAGACTGGAAAAAAGATGTCCATTCTAGCCCTGTATCTCATACCATCAAGCTGAAGAACCAGCTGGTATCATTCATTACAAAGGAAACTGCCGTTTCGTTCTAACAGTTGCCTGCTTATCCTTTCTAAAAAAAAATTCCACCACAGAGATCTCTCCGAACATGCAACTTACCTGTCCCTGCATTCAAACTTGGGGCATGGTTGGGCTCTGGCGAGGGGCACATAATGCCTGAACCCATCAATATAGCTGGGCTCTTATACTCTCCAAAGAAGCAAGAATAGGACTCTCCGTTCTGTAGGGCTGGCAAGTCCGAAAAAGTCAGGAATATCTGTCAATCAGAAAGCAGACAGATCAGTACAGTAATTTGCTTTTCCTAAGGAAGATTCTCTTGTATAATGAGCATTCAATACAATACAATACAATAGCAGAGTTGGAAGGGACCTTGGAGGTCTTCTAGTCCAACCCCCTGCCTAGGCAGGAAACCCTATACTGTTTCAGACAAATGGCTATCCAACCTCTTCTTAAAGACTTCCAGTGTTGGAGCATTCACAACTTCTGGAGGCAAGCTNAGTTTTGGTCGCCACGATGTAGAAAAGATGTGGAGACTCTAGAAAGAGTGCAGAGAAGAGCAACAAAGAGGATTAGGGGACTGGAGGCTAAAACATACAGTATAAAGAACGGTTGCAGGAACTGGGTATGTCTAGTTTAGTGAAAAGAAGGACTAAGGGAGACATGATAGCAGTCTTCCAATATCTCAGGTGCTGCCACAAAGAAGAGGGAGTCAAACTATTCTCCAAAGCACCTAAGGGTAGAACAAGAAGCAATGGGTGGAAATTAATCAAGGAGAAAAGCAACTTAGAATTGGGGAGAAATTTCCTGACAATTAGAACAAGTAATCAGTGGAACAGCTTACCTCCAGAAGTTGTGAATGCTCCAACACCAGAAGGTTTTAAGAAGAGATTGGACAGCCATTTGTCTGTAGTGGTATAGGGTCTCCTGCCTAAGCAGGGGGTTGGACTAGAAGACCTCCAAAGTCCCTTCCAACTTTGTTATTCTATTCTATTCTAGATCACTCACTTTGGACCTAAAGACCAGGACTCCTTCCACATCCCTCTCCAAGTTGTGGGAAGAAAAAAAAATCAAGATGAATCCTTTTTTATAATTTGCTTTCATTAATCTGATAAAAATTGTTTTAAATATACATTTGGCAAAAGATGACCTGAAGGGGAAGCAGAGTATTAAAAATACACTTGGCTAGGAACACTGAATTTCTGTATCTATAAACATCAGGATTGTGCAAGCCACGGTATTCCCTTGGATTCCTGGTGGAAATGAAAGTTGGGCTTTGTAGAACAGGACAGGAAGAGTATTGACTCCTTTTAATTTGGTGTTGGAGAAGACTTCTGAGAATACCATGGATAGTCATGAAAACAAACCAGCGGATCAGTGAATAAATCAACCCAGAGTTCTCATTTAAGGCACAGGTGACCAGAATAAAAATATCCTACTTCAGAGACATTATGAGAAGACTCATGTCTCTGGGAAAAAGGCTCCAATGCAGAGTAAGATGGAAGGAAAGAGGAGAAGCGGACGACCAGATGGACAGACTCAGTTATAGTGGTGATGAATGCACCGTTGGATGACTTGTAAGCAGCAGCTAGGGATAGATCATCACAAAGAAATTCTATCAGGTTGCTAGGAGTTGAAAGAACTACATGGTTTAGGGTTCCTCTTTTCCCTCATATGTATCTTCCAGCACAAAAATTAAGATACTGGACGAAGATTACTGGACCAAGCCCATATTAACCATGGAAGCTCACTGGATGACTTGGGGTGAGTTGCTTCCTCTCATCTAAGCCCAGCTTATCTATCAAGGTTGCTTGATAGGGATAAAATTCAAGAATACAAGTAGTCCTTTCTTTGACTTATGACCACAACTGAGCCAAAAATTCCTGTTACTAAGCAAGACAGTTATTAACAGTTGAATTTTCCCTATGTTGCCACCTTTCTTGTCACAGCTATTAAGCCAATCACTGAAGTTGTTAAGTTAGTAACATGGTTATTAAGTGAATCTGGCTTCCCCTGCTGACTTTGCTTGTCAGGAGGTTGCAAAAGGGGATCACATGACCCTGGGACACTACAGCCTTCAAAAACTATGATCCTGTAGGACAGTGTTGGCGAACCTTTTCGGCACTGAGTGCTGAAACGGGAGTGTACATGCACGCGTGCCGGAAACTGGAAGAGCAGCCGCCCAGTGCACATGCGTGTGCTCAGAAGATGATCTTCCAGTTTCCAAAACACGCATGCACACCAGCCAGCTGGTCTTCCGGTTTCTGGTGCACATGCATGCACAAAAACCAGCTGGCTGGTATGGATGGGCACGCCGGAAACAGGAAGTTCATCTTCCCACTGCATGCATGCACACCGGGCAACTGCTCTTCTGATTTCCAGCGCTCCCACATATGTGAAGACCAGCTGGCCAGCACGCCAGAACCCAGAAGAAAAACAGGCGACGGCTTGCGTGCCAGGAGAGATGGCTCTGCATGCCACTTCTGGCACGTTGCCATAGGTTCACCATCATGGCTGTAGGAGATGACCAGGCTGAGTCCGAGGGAGGAGTCAAATACATCATCAGTCAGGAATCCCTGTGTACCACAAGAGATCTAAGTCCAGCCTGCCTTGATTTCCTTTCTCAACTGCCGCTAATTCTCTTTAACCATTAGTAGCTCAGATTCTTGTAGAGAGCTTAAGCTTGCAATAAATCTTTATACTCATTTGGACTGCCTGGATCTCCCAATTCCCCCAGCGCTTGACACAACCAGCTGCCAAGCATCCGAATTGTGACCTGTGACCATGGGGATGCTGCAATGGTTATAAGTGTGAACTTTTTTCAGTGCCACTGTAACTTTGCACAGTCACTAAACAAATGGCTGTAAGTCGAGGACTACCGGTAGGCATATATGCTTGTGCGTGTGTGCAGAGTAAACCAGCCATCAATGACACGCAAAAACATCTGTGGCATTCTGAAGCAAAGCATGAGACTTACCAAATCCAGAAATCCAGGTGCATCATATTGATAATCTAGTGTTGGGTGCAGAATTCGAGGGAAATCAGAGATGTCACTCTCGGAGGAGTCCCCATCCCCCGAGAGAAGGATGGATGCAGAGAAAGAGGAGGTGTCATTTTCAGGGGGCAGCGAAACCATCCATTCCTCACTCTCCTGGGGTTCTGCGATGTCTTCAGGAGGAAGCCACTTTGGAAGGTCTGTAGGATAAGGCAACTCGAGAATGGGAGGCTCGGTCTCCAGGTCAATGGGTGGTACGTTAGTAGATGTGGAAGGGCTCCCGGTCTGGTTAGGGGTGAGAGGACTTAGGGGAGAAGACGCAGGGGCAGAAGGTGGAGTGGAGGAACTTTCAGCTTCAAGGGAAGGAGTCTTTCCCTCTAGAACAGGCTGGGGTGTGCTATACACGGCAATAGAAGGATCGGTGGAGCCGTCTTCTGGATCTGCAGTTGGTTCTGAAGTAGGATGCGCTGCGGAAGAAAGCATCTCCAGCTGGCTGCTGGAGAGATATTCTGAGGTAGGACCGACAGTCGCAGTAGTGGGCACTTCAGTGGGGGGCAATATCAGAGAATCCCGGGTTGTCTCCAGCAAAGTAACAGTACTTGGGGTTGATAGAGGTGCTTCGGTGGAAGGAAGGGTTTCGGGCTTCAGAGTAGTCGGGGCAGAAGTGGCTGGCAGGCTGGTGTAGATAATGGGAGTGGTGGTGGGAGCCGGCATGGAAGTAGTCCCTGGTGCTTCTGAGAGCGTAGGGGGTTCAGTGGCCACCATAGGCAAAGATGACTGTGTTGTACTTGGAGTGTATAAGGAAGGGAATGGGCTGGAATCCAGTATCTGAGTCTGGAGAAGCAAAAGAAGAGAAACAGTTAGTCAGGGCAAGTACGGGATCAGAAGGAGGCTACACTCTGTGGCTGAGTTCATACAACATGCCAAATCATAAAAACAGCATAGCAAACTGTTGCTGTGTTCTTATTAAATGCCATCACCAAACAAATAAACCATGGTAGGGTGTGATGCAGTGGTGAAATTCATTTTTTTTACTACCGGTTCTGTGGGCGTGGCTTGGTGAGCGTGGCAGGGGAAGGATACTGTAAATCTCCATTTCTACCACACCCTGAGACCAGCCGGCATTTGCCGGTTCTCCGAACTACTCAAAATCTCTGCTACCGGTTCTCCGGAACCTGTCAGAATCTGCTGGATTTCACTCCTGGTGTGATGTAATAGTGTGGGTCACAGGATATGCTAAGACAACAGTTGGGCTTCTGCAGTACCAACCCCTGAAATGCATTTTAGTGTAACTAGTGTATTATGTAACTA